ATTTCAGTTGGGACGAAGTGGAAAACAGAACAAATGACGCTGCTGAAGACGTGCCACCTGACGTGCCACCAGTTTTATTAAGTAAAGAACTTGTGTCGCTTGAGTTTCGTCGGAACGAAGTTACGGAAAATCAATTAACAAACGGAGACGTAACACTTGTCTTGGTGGTGTTATAAATTTATTCTTAATTTCATTTGTATATTCTGTTTGTTGGTTTCTTTCATGTTTCTTATATCTGTTCCATTCAAGTTTTTAATGGCTTGCCTAACTCTTTACTATACTTTTTAGCTTCGTTATTAATTAAATAAAGCCTTAATTACTAAGGTAGATTTTCTTTACTTTATTTCAGGTAATTTACGAACTGAGCTAGAGACCTAGCAAGGGAGGTGGAAGAATTGTGAGAACTCTCCAGATACTCTAATCAGTGCCCTCAAATCTTGCTCTAAGGATTTGTTTCCAAATCTTCATGTGCTGCTTCAACTTGGATGCCTCATTCCTATCACTAACTGCGAAGTAGAAAGATCATTTTCGGCTGTTCGACGAACGAAGACGACGTTGCGATCAGTGATGTTGGAGGACCGCCTTAGTACCCTAGTATTGCTCAACTCTAACCGCAGGCATCAAATTAACGTACAAGATGTTATTCAATGATTCATCCTCAAAAAGCCACGCCGACTATTTTCAACCTTGTACAAAGAATGGACTTTATCTCTTGATAATGGGTATCAATGACGGCTGTGTTGCAGTTTCGACTTTGAAGGGGGTAAACTATCAAATAGTCTTTTTGTTCATTTGTTATTACTAATAAATATTTTAACTTACAAAACTTTTGTTTTACATGAAATCTATTAAATACTTAAATTTTCCATTGGGACCCCCTCCTGCTCAAAATCCTAGATCCGCCCCTGAGATGTGTAAAATGTAAATCATTATATTAATAATTTATTAATGTTTTTCATCTCAGTTATTTACTGCATTGACATTTAGCGTTATTATTTAAATTATGCGTGCTTTTTGTACAAAGTTTTTAAAACTATTACTAAGCATGGTAGTACTTAGTATGTAGGGATGGGCCGAGAAACAATGGCCGTCACATTCAATCTATTACTTATGATGCTTACAATTAACTGCTAAAGTTGAGTTTAGCTTTATTTGAGAACCTACTTGCCATTATCGAGTGTTTCACAGCTTATATAACAGTAATGTTATTCTATTAGTGTTTCACAGCTTATATAACAGTAATGTTATTCTATTCTTCTAACATACGTGGGGAAATAATAAAAAAAGAAAACTACTACTTAGCAGTGAGTTTCCATGTTTCATAAATATGTTTCATTTCTGGTCGCTACATTGCAGCACAAATATTTCTTATATAATGACCGTGTGCGACTTTTCATTGGGGAAACATGATATCTGCCAAAACAATTTCAGTAGAAAGAAAGAATAATATAATATAATATTCTAGATATCAAGAAGATCAAGTATTTATCCAACTAACAGATCCGTATACATGTTATTGATGTCTAAGTTTAAAAACACCAGTTTCTTAATAATCAGAACAATACATTATATAGTGGTCTACTTTTCTTCAAATTTTCATCCTGGCAGCTGTATGTGTATGCGTGGTATCATACTTCAATCCCTAGGATCTGTATGATATCTCTCTATTAATCAACATGACCCTAGAATGTGATCGCATCGATTGTAAGCACATGCAGTGAGTTGGGATGAAGTAGGAAGGCATGGATTTTGTAAATATCCACTTAACGTTGGTCCAGTGCTGCGGGGTACTTGTATCGTCTTGGAGGAACCATTCTAGCTTCAGTAGCCCTCAATGTGATCCAAAATGAGAGAAACTGAAAAAAATATGATATTAACAAAATATATTACCATTAAACTATAAAAATAAAATAAATGTTCACTTATCAACCTACTTGAATGAAATTGTTTAAAAACAAGAAGGGAAACAAGTATTTTTTTTTTTTTGACAAAAATTAAGTATGATTTAAGAATGGCAATGCCAAAAAATACAGAAACATTCCGTGTCTCACAACATACTATTCTATGTGTTTCAATAAAATTAAGCTCAGAGACTTCATCCTAATTCGTTTGGCTTTAACTTTTTCATCACGTGGGATGAAGAGGAGCAAAAGTTTCTGACCATCCCGGGTTGTCTTTTAGGCTTGAAAGATTTTAAACCTAAATTTTTGCCACGAAACTTGATTTAGGTTAATCTTACAAGCTTATGGTTATTAATATTAGCCACTGTAAGACTGTGTAGCACTATTCATTTTAAATGCTTTTATTCAAACCCGAATTCATGCATCTGACAGGATTGTTTGTTTGTTTGTAATTATACACAAAGCTACACAATGGGCTATCTGTGCTCTGCCCACCACGGGTATCGAAATCCGGTTTCTAGCGTTGTAAGTCCGCTGTGCTACTGGGGGGCTGCAGCTGATAGGAATTCAATATGTATTTGTAGATAAAAGTTATTCTTGGAAATATTTTTTTATTACTTGTATTAAATATTTTCCGAAATTTGTGGATTAGTTTCATCTCATAGCAGTCTAATTAGGAAATTTAGTTATTTGTCAATTAAGAATATATGTGTATTTTTTAAAACTAACGATCGATATTTTGTGTTAATTAATTTAAGGCATATACTGACACTAACATAACATCTTTTGGAAGGCAGTGACACATTTTAGAATTTAATCAAGTAAAAGTTGAATATCGTTATATGCCATGTTATATTTCTAGTATTTATACTAACACTAATAGTTAGTACTCCTAAAAAGTATTAATGAGTATTATATTAAACAAGCGCGAAACTGATTTCGTTTCTCTCCATGGATAAGTGTAGGACAGTATACTGTATATTAGGAAAGTTTACAGACCTGACTTAGTAGAAATTGAAATGAAAGAAGTACTTCTTACAATTATTTATTTTGTTTTCGCGTTTGTTTTACTTATTATGTTAGTTTGTCTTGGTAAGTTGTTTTGACACAATTATACCTATTTTTATTTTCTTCATTGACTTTGAAAAAATTCAAAATTAAAATTATATGTGATATGATAATACTAATAGTTTTTAATTTTTATCAGTTACTAAAACTAATTTAAATTTATTTATTTTGTAAATACCATAACTTTTTAAATTTTAAGCCGTACCTTGTTATATTACAAGCTAGTCTACTAGTACTAATACTAGTAAGTACTTATAGTAATACATTCGGTGCACTGTTTAAATGTTTTTAGAGCATAAGTTAAATAACAGTTTTAATAGTATGTTTGTTAGATGTAAAGATAAACATAGTAACACTTCAAGAATAAACTAGTTGTTATTGTTATGATGTTAGGAACAAAATGGAACAGTGCATAAAACTAAAAGTTGGAACTTGTATTGGAATATTACTTACTGGAGTGTTGAAGTATATGAAATATAAAATATTTTTGATAGAAAAATCTCCCAAGACATTTTACTTTCACCATTCTGTACTGCTGTCAGTCACTTAATTCATTTCAATACTCTATATAGATGTGAAGAACAGCTTTTCTGAGAAATATATTATCTTTACATATTATATATGTGTCTATAATTTATAAAGTACAGAAAGGTTACAATATTTTGTGGCATAGTGATTTTTATTGAAATAACAGGCTCAGAGTTGATAGACACTGTAATTGCACAATTTTGCACAGCTGACAATCACATTATTTCATTACTCAGTACACATGTGAAGAATAGTTTACACCAAAATTATTTTAGCTTTACATAGTGAAATTCTGTGTGTGTCAATTATTTCTGAAGCAATGTGTTTTTGATAGAGAATAGCTCTGAACAATTACTACAGATTACCTCACTTTTAATTTAAAGTATAAAATTACTTTTATGTATTGGGTTAACCTGTTCTTTTAAAGAGATTGGACTGGGAGTTTTTTATGTTTAAAGACCTTATAATTTAGTTTGGATAAAATAATTCATAATAATAAACCATAACCAAAGATGCATGATTTGCAATTTTAAAATGTTTATAATCTAACTTAAAATATTCCAGTCTTTATCTGATAGTATTTCCTGTATTAGCTGTTTTCTGTAATGACTTCTTTTTTTCTTTTTTTCTTGGTGATATTGTTTTGGATTGGTCAGTAAGGTTCCACATTCTGCCTTTTACTTGGACCCAAAAGTGGATAAGTTCTGGACTAGTTGTGATCGAAGACTATGATGTGAATTATTGTAATTGGGATTACTGAAACTTGGTTAGATCTGAATAACATTGATAATAGGAATTAATATAAAATTGGAGTTTATAAGTTACTTAATAGTGTTAGGGAGTGGGGTGGCCTTTTGTACAAGTGATGTGTTGCATACTCTTGGAATGTAAGACAACAAATGGTAGTCAAGAGTTGTATCTTTATGGGTTACAGTCAGATGTTTCAAGTTAAGAAAGTTATCATTTGGCAACTGCTATAAGCCACTTGATTAGACAGATGTTGAGATAAAATAGAAGTGAACTTTTCATCCTTAATTTTCAGAAATCCAGTTTTCAAGCTAAATGTATCCTCAGTTAATTCAGAGAATGAGCTCAAAGATACTGTGGGACATGCTTGGGGAATTTTTTAATGTAAATTTGTTGGGGATCATTGGATGGCTAAGCTTTTAAATGTTTTCTTCTGTTTATGCAAGAGGAGACACTAGGAATATTCCTGATCCTGAGTGTTGTGTGGAATTGACTTGATTCGTGTGGATGTTAATTACCAGGGTTTTAAAGGAGGTCAAAGATATGTGAGCATCTCTTATTTTTGGTAGGTTTGCTGACATGTTCTTGAGAGCAGGAGAGCTACTATTCTTACTCCTAGCCTCCTTTGTTAACAAAAAGTAACAGGATGGCAGTGTAATTTAGTTTTAAACTAGTTAGTTTATGAAATGTATTTCTTTAAAGTCTTCGGTTTCTGATGCAAATATGATTTTTGATAAAACGTCGGGTGCTTGAATTTTGCATTGGCATACTCACAATTTGCTAGTACATTTTTCACAGTGTGTCAGAATTATTTAAACTAGTAATTTTCTATGAGTGCATATATATGCACATGGCATAAATTAAATATGAAACTTCAAAAATAAATGAATAAACACCAGAGGCCTTTGAAATCACTAAAGGCTGGTTCCTGTTTGAATAATAGGATCATTTTATTCCTTTATTACGTACAAAAAGTAGATTTTTTCATTTGTGTATGTACACACATAAATTTCTTTGTTCATTGTAGAACTCATATTATTTTGTTGCTGCATATATAATATGTGTACTGCATCATCAGAAAACATGTATGAATTGTACTAATATAAGTTAAAAGTTTTTATAAATTCCAATCCTGAAAATGAAACTGGTGGTGAGCATGAGCCATCCAGTGACAATTAAAAACAAAAGTTGTCTTTCACAGTTTAAACTGTCAACAAATGATCAAAAAAAAGTGAATTACTACAACTATTTTACAATTGTGTAGCAATGATTTTTAAAACTGTCAACAAATGATCAAAAAAGTGAGTTATCACAACTATTTCACTATTGTGTAGTAATGATTTTTAAAACTGTCAACAAATGATCAAAACAAGCAAGTTATCACAACTATTTCACTATTGTGTAGTAATGATTTTTAAAACTGTCAATAAATGATCAAATGAAGTGAGTTACTACAACTATTTCACTGTTGTGTAGCAATGATTTTTAAAACTGTCAACAAATGATCATTTTACTATTGTGTAGTAATGATTTTAAAGCTGTCAACAAATGATCATTTTACTATTGTGTAGTAATGATTTTAAAGCTGTCAATAAATGATCAAATGAAGTGAGTTACTACAACTATTTTGCTGTTGTTTAGCAGTGATTCTTAAATCTGTCAATAAATAATCAAATTAAGGGAGTTACTACAACTATTTTACTATTATGTAGTAATGATTTTTAAAACTGTCAATAAATGATCAAATGAAGTGAGGTACTACAACTATTTTACTATTGTGTAGTAATGATTTTTAAAACTGTCAATAAATAATCAAATGAAGGGAGTTACTACAACTATTTTACTATTGTGTAGTAATGATTTTTAAAACTGTCAATAAATAATCAAATGAAGTGAGTTACTACAACTATTTTGCTGTTGTTTAGCAATGATTTTTAAAACTGTCAATAAATAATCAAATGAAGGGAGTTACTACAACTATTTTACTATTTTGTGGTAATGATTTTTAAAACTGTCAATAAATGATCAAATGAAGTGAGTTACTACAACTATTTTACTATTTTGTGGTAATGATTTTTAAAACTGTCAATAAATGATCAAATGAAGGGAGTTACAGCAACTATTTTACTATTGTGTAGTAATGATTTTTAAAACTGTCATTAAATGATTAAATGAAGTGTTACTACAACTATTTTACTATTTTGTAGAATGATTTTTAAAACTGTCAATAAATGATCAAATGAAGGGAGTTACAGCAACTATTTT